TTTTTTAATTTTTTATTAAAAAATACATAGCCTGAAAATAATTCAGATGTAGTTGAAGTTTATTTTAAGGTATCTTTATTTGAATTGACACTCAGAAGAACATATTTCAATCTTTTTAGGATACACAAGTAAGTAGATTTTAAAGTTCCAATACTTTAATTTCGATGTTTTTTTTTAACAATGCAGTTTATTTAAAATATATATTCTTAAGTGGGTGCAACCGTGCTTTGTTGTGTTGATGAAAGAATTTTATTAATCTATACTTATGTTATAAGGAGGGAAAATTTGTATTTTTGTATGTATTGAAAAAACTCAAAAACTACTGGGCCGTTTTTAAAAATTCTTTCCCCGTTAGAAAGGTAATCTGTGGGTGTAATAGGCTACATTTTTTATTATTCCGATGAAGTCGCGAGCAACAGCCGGTTTAAGAATTTTTTGTATTTACTTCTAAGAAAAGTGAGGGTTTCAGTATTATATCAGTTATATAATGAGGTACATAACAGTAAATGTTACAATTCATAGCAAAAGTTCCCACAGTAATTCAGACTCGTATAGATTTTTTTGACAAAGTTGTGGAACACTGTTGACCCAGTTTTCACGTTTTAAGAGCGACGTTAACTTTCCTTGAATACTTGTTTTAAATCCGATAAAGTGCAGAAATGTAATGTAAGTACGGTTAGCAGATAAGTTAACATTTATAAATAATACAAATCTATAATGTATGGTACTGTTTTCTGTCTGTCTGTCTGTGTGTTCACTAGCCGCGTCTGTTCCGGGTAAACTCCGAAACTCCGATTTCGACGGACTTTCACTGAAGGGTAGCTGACATAGACGGGCATATTATAGGCTACTTTTTTTGTCTTAATATTGCGTGGACGAATTCGCGGGCAACAGCTAGTAGTTCATAAACGCTAGTTTTTATTTAAATTTACTTAATGTTGGTTTAGTGATTGCTAAACGGACCGCACTGTAATACACCCACCGGGTGTAACCGGAAATTTATAGACTAGCTGTTGCTCGCAACTCCGTCTAGATAAAATACAGCGTACGAGTATGTTACTCTGCGATAACGTAGCTTTCTAATAGTAAAATAATTCTTGAAATCGGCCAAGTAGTTTTTGAGTTCTTCGACTATAAACAAAAATACAAATTTTCCCTTTTGATAACATAAAGTACTAGTTGTTACTCGCAACTTCGCTCGCGTTAAATTATTAATTTTTAATGAATATAGCCTAAGTTACTCACAGATAAATTACCTTTATAATGGTGAAAGGATTTTTGAAATCGGCCAAGTAGTTTTTACGTGAATCGAATACATATAAAATACAAAAATACACATTTTTCTTTTTATAATATTAGTATAGAAGTATAGATGTATAGATTGTTATGTAGAATTATCTAAATTCTCTATTATAAGTTTCTTGTGCATCAGGGATCGATCGCGCGACCCGGCCGGATCGACCTCGTGCTCACCACCGTGTCAAGGGTAGTCGGTTCGAATGCGTTAGGACGTCGTTAGTGTTAGTGCACGAGTTCAAGGGTAGGCTGAGAAAAGTCGTATCTAGTAGTACTTTCGTCTTTTGTTTCATATAGAGGTTACTAACAGTGGGCACAAAACTTTGACTAAATTGCACCACTGTTGTGCGATTGTCGATTGTTTTATAATCAATTCAACTGTTTAGTTGCACAATTAAAAATCGAGTAGTGTGTGCACCTCCATACAAGCTCAAAGGAAACAAAACGCGACTAAGATCTAAGAGCTCGGTGGCCTCCCAATCCGGTAATAATAACGAAGTAACGGCTCGTGCCGAGGCTCCTGAGGGAGCCCTCGAGCTTAGTTACTCATAAACGAGGTTTAGGCTAAGCGGCGTCTGACTCGGCCACCTCAAGCTTGGTGAATCTGTAAATGACTCTTCAAGGCAAACAGTGGTCATTCAGCCACAAAAAAAAAAACAAAAAAAAGCGCGACTAAACAGTTTTGCGATAGTATAGTCAAAGGTGTGCGGTCGCTCTAAACCTATTATCCTTCTAGAAATGAAGTCCACGTCTTTTGGCAAGTTGCAATCTATGTTTATATTGAAAATCATCTAAATTCACTGTTATTTCGTTTTGTTCATGGCTTATTACTTTTTGCAGTTTATAGATTGCTGTTTATTTTAAAATAGACTCGTGTTGTTTTAACTACAGGATATATCAGGGTTGGCAATAAAATGTCAAAGTTCAAGCCCACGCAGTGCAAGGTTTATACTCAATTGAGCGGAGGCTTTCGTGTTGGTTCAACCTTTAATTTTAATTTCTTTTCTCTTTGAATATGTTAAAGGTAAAATATTAATATGAAAATATTTTCTCTGTCTATTAACTTAGCTACACATTTATTTATAGCTTTCTAGATAGTTATAAATGTCTATGGACTGCGAGGTTTGCAGTTAAATTGTTTTTTAAATTCTATGACAGACTTAATATTCTAAAGAAAAGCTGTTCCTCGAGACTTTGTCCAAGTGAAATATAGCCTATGTTGCTAGGCGTTAACGTAGTTTTCTAATGATGTAAGAATTGTTGGAATTGACCCGTAGTTTTTGAGTTATTTTAATACATTTAAAATACAAATCTTTCCTCTTTATAATATACGTATAGACTTGCTGTTGCGCGCGACTTAACCCACGTGAAGTTAGTTTTTGATTTATTTTAAACATGCAAATGTTTCTTCTTTATAATATTGGCATAGATTAAGGGTGCTTCCAGTAGGTTATATTTTACTTACTTTGTAAGTTATTATTTTACTTTGTAAATATAACTGGAATTAATCCATCACGATGTCAAATATAACTAAAACATTGTCCCATCATGTTCAAGGCAAACATTTGTCATACAAATTGGTAATGACGTAAGACATCTTTGTAGAGTTTCATTTGTTATTTGATATCTCAGTGTACTGTTTTATTTTAAAAGATCATTTGAATTTGGATCATTAAGACAGGGCGAATACCTTTGACTAAACTATCGCACTACTTTTGTGCGACTGTCGATTGTTTTGCAGGCTTCAACTGTTTTGTTGTACAATTAAAAAAAAACATACAGACGAATTGAGTACCTCCATATAAGCTCATAGGAATCAAAGCGAGACTAAATATCGAAGCAAGACTGAACAGTCGTGAGATAGTTTAGTTACATGTGCGCTCGTTCTTAATACCATATACTGAATCCGCACGGGCACAGCTAGTAACAATAAAGTACTTTGCCAAAATCAACAGTGGCGATATTTCATAGTGACACTAGCTTTCGCCCGCGATTCTTTCCTTATGGAATTATAAAAAGCTTAGTAAGTAGCCTGTGTTTTTCCAAACGATGTTCTACATCAGTGCCAAATTTCATCAAGATCCGTTCAGTAGTTTAGGTTACAAACTCTAAAAACATTCATGCAAAATTTCTCATATATTGGGTTAGTAAAATTTAATCGATATCATGAACATCAATGTTATTTGAGGTCCAAATCAATAAGCGGCAGTCACAGTTAAATCAGTTAACCAACCAGTATCCAACTATAGTTTAACGTAATACTATTAGATTCCATTGTTGAACGCATCTTGTACTGAGAATATCTGATGCGATGTTTTGCAATATGAGTTTGTATTACGCAAGGCTTCAATGCCGTCCGTTCTCTAAGGCCTTATCTCGACAGCCTTTGTAGTACACAAATCTTACTTTTAAACTTAAATACAATTACTTACTGACTTAATTTGATGATATTATAATGCTATTTTTTAATGTATATTTATACAACAACATTTCGCTTTTTCGTACTGTCTTCTCTTTGTTTTTATTAATAAATCCATATCCATTACTAGACCTAATAAAAACATGATATTTTTTTCCACATTTCAGTCTGATTCTTGTTAATATTTTTTACATATCACTCAAAAACATAGGACATAAAATATCTACCATATTTAATATTTATAATACCAAGGCAGGTAATTCCTGTCCTCATTTCTGCAAGGCTTCCCAGTTCGGTACTTATCTAGAGGCTGACCTAATAAATCTGCTCTCAAGTGTACATAATTATTTCAAAACTTACGTGGAGGTTTCACCCCCCTAAGATTAGTGTATTCATGCTCTGTATACCACCCTATATAAATACAGGTCTTATAAAAGTTTCAAATATATCGTTCAATATTAAATTCTAGTTTTTTGAATGTTCAGGGCTTTCCTACATATTACAGTTGCACGATATGCATTATAAGATAACTAGCTGTTACCCGCGACTCCATTCTAGTGGAATAAAAAAAAACAAAAGGAACTAGCCTATGTGTTCTTCCAGACTATCTTCTGCGTCTTTGACTAATTTCATCCAGATCCGTTCAGCAGATTAGACAGCAAACCCTAACAAACATCCTTCCATCTAAACTTTATTTACAATATTAGTAAGAATAAAATTCATGCTTATAATATTTATTCTTATATCATTTAGTTACAGTATAATTCTTGTTATCTCTTTCTTTTCTAAGAGAATGAAAAGGGATGCACTGTTTTTTCCATCCACGGTTAATGTTCATACCACTAAGTAGGGGAGACATTTTAAAATGACATCTAGTGAGTGCTTTGATGTATAGGGAGGAAAGGCGGGAAATTCAAATCAAACTGTCTTTAGAAAGATGATTTTATTTTTAATAAACTGTTGTGTTTTTTCATTTGTTTTTTATGTGCATGAATCTGTAGGCAGAGCTACCATCACGCTTCATAGAGTTATTTTTAATTTATACAATCATTTGATAATGTGTTTAGTTTCTTTTATGACCATGTTATTTTGCATTTTATATTTAAGTCAACATAAATAATATATAAAAATAATTAAACGACGAGTATTAAAATTCAAACGGTCTCTATAGTGTTTAATTTTAATTCAAGTGCAATTAAAGATGTTTTAATTGTTATAGGTTATTAATTAAAAAAAAACAATTTCCTTACAGATGAAATAATAATTATGTATTAAATAGAAAGTAGAATACTATAAAAAATAAGACTGGTTAACGAAACGACGACAATAATATTAAAATTAAGAAATCAAGCTTAAATAATAGTGAAAGTCAGATACGCGCGAAACGAGAAACGTCAAACGTCATTAAAAAAATAAAAAGTGAAAGTGGCCAGTGCGCGTCAGCCAGCTTAGCGGAGTGGACGTGAATTAAGAATAATAAAAAAAGATAAGAAAATCCAGTGTTGTTTAAAAGTGTTTTGTGTGGTGTGTTGTATATTTATAATATTGTGCCGGGGTAGTCCGCCCCCAGAGCTCGGCCAATGACGCGGTGGGCCGCGCCCCCGCACGGCTGCGCGCCGCTCCTAGCCTTGCTCCTGCTATTTAACGCCGGTAAGTCTCAGGATTACAAGAAACTTCGGAAACGAGAATATCAATTCTACTTTTCCATTTCCAGGAATTTAAATCAACAATTTCCGAACGTGATCGTATGTTAGTTAAGATTTATTTTACAGAAACTTTATTACAAAGCTATATTTTATCTCATAATAATCTAGGGTTGAATAGACTTTAATAAATCCAATTGTATTAGGTTTAACCATCACTTAGAGGAAGTAAAGATGTGTGTAGGGAACGCGCCATTAGAATCCATATTTTCTATCTACCCCGTGTTAGTTTTTCCAGAACTAATGTCGAAAACATTATGTTTATTTTTCAATTTTCTTATCAATAGACCAACCTCTAGTTCTGTCTTGTACAATAATTTTAACCACCATCTCTCACGTTTTGCATGATGTTTGTCTAGGTATCCTATTTTTTTTCTCGTTTATTTTTCTAAAATCGCAGACAAAGGTTGATAAAGCTTTCTTTGCAAAAATATGCAGATCCATATCACAGATGTATTTGTAGTGGAAACAGCCAGATGTACGCAAGTAAAAAATTAAATCAAGTATCAAGAACATTTGAACCGGATATTAAATACGCAGTTAAGTACTTGTTATTTCTAGTGAGGTCATAATATTACAAGTCACACAAGGTATTCAACACTAGAGGTCTCCCGCGTCTTTATCAGCGTGGAATTTATAAAATCTATCTTTCCGACAGTCTCTACAAAATCTGACCAGCCGTTACGGAGGTTATCGAAAACAAACGCGACTTACGGATAGCAGACAGAACAAACATTAAAAACAGGGTTTTCGGTATCAGCAACCTAAATATATCTAGTTCAGATATTATCAATATTACATACTGATTTGACAATTTTATTATATGTATTCTTAGGTACGATTTTATAAAAAAACATTTTATGTTTTATGGGACACAATATTGCGCTACTATCCATTGTAGATATTAAGAGCCTGTCCCACCACTGGCTGATAGAGGCTCAGATAGCTTAAAAATGACTGTCAGATAAGGTAACAAAATCGGATATTTCCATCATGTGTATAATCAATGTGTATAACATTGGATTGTTATCAGACAATTTAAAGTTTAGTGGGACAGGCCCGTAATATACATACTTTGACAAGAACCCAGTTCTCTAGTTCCTTAGCCTAATTAGAACCTTGTCACACTAAAATTCTTTTGATATATGTTGTTGTGCCCTTGTTACAATTTCATGTCTAGTTCTACATACGTTAAAAGAAGTTGTACTTGCGATTAAGATCATGGTAACTATGTTGTCGAATTAAAGCTCTCAATAACAAACTTTCAAAGCATAATAAGTCCTATTCATATATCTTACAGGTTATAATTGCTTGTACAATTGTAGATAAATGTGTATGGATAAAGGTTAACTGAAGGATATTTGCTATATTATACGGTTAGGTATGACTTAGTAATTAAGTCGTATAGCCTGACCAATATAAAAACTTCGCCTATTGGGGTATTTGAAATTAATTTCTTTGCGTACTTCATGTATAGAGACGCCTCGTGTTAATGTTTTTCTATTTTTTTGTTAACTAGTCTATATGAACCCACCCTATGAAAAATGTTACCGTCTTTGTCAGTCGGGTGGATATAGAAAGAAATGTATACTATCGCACAACTGTTTCGTCTCGCTTTGAGTCCTATGAGCTTATATGAAGCGCACACTACTCGACTTTTAGTTGTGCAACTAAACAGTTGAAGCTTGCGAAACAATCGACAATCGCACAACGGTTGTGCGATAGTTTAGTCAAAGGTTTGCGCCCGCTTTATTGCAGTCTCTAGAGAATGAAATAAATATGTTATGAAACATGTATATCGACAGTGGGAACACAATAAACAATGGACAGTCGCACGACGTCTGCTTTGCAAAGATTAGAGGATTAGAGACGTTAGTTATTGTGTGGGAATTGAGAACCGGATATTTTGCTATTTCAACTCACTATTAAATATACAGTAATCTTACTGATAATTTTAGAGTTTGTAGCCTAAACTGCTGAATTGATGTGAATGAAATTTGGCATAGATGTAGAGGATAATTTGGAAAAAACAAATAGACTATTAATTTAGTTTTTTTTTTTTAAATTCCGCGCTGGTGAAGTCGCGGTTAAAAGCTAGATAAAAATATTTTGTGCCCGTCGTTATGGGCCTGTCCCATCAAATTGTCAATTGTGTCATAAGAATCCAACGTGCTAAATATGTGATGGAAATTTGGATTTTGTTCCCTTATTTGACAGTGGCGTTTTTAAGCTATCTTAACCTCTATCAGCCAGTGGTGGAACCGGCCCTAAATATTGAAGTATCAAATGTGACCTAAAACATTATATTTCAACAAAATACTTTTTCAATCACATAATTGCTATTTACTCTGTAGTGTTCACATTTGAGTTTTCTCATCTGATAAGAGGAAGAAAAAAGAAAAACAAATGGTTCACACACAAAGCTTTGTGTACGAATAAATCTTGTAAATCTTATAGAGAATGTAGTCCAAGACATACATGCGTTTGTTTTTATTTCCTTTTAGTTCAAGAACATTGGATAAATAATTGCGATACAATAAGTAAAACTGACGAATTAATGAATTCAATATATAACTAGATCAATCACATTTATCACTTGTTTTTGTAGTTAAGAAAAAAGAAGAAGAAATAAATAAGATTTGTATTTATCTTTTAATTGGTTATAACTTTTAATGTTAATTATTAATCTGTTTTCAATAAATTTCAATTTCAATTTCAAAACAAGATGCAATTAATAAGAAATCAATAAATCTATACTAATATTAGAAAAAAGTAAAATTAATATTTGTGAATTTAACTAATTAACATAAAAACTACCAAACCGACTTCAAATATTATTACTATTAGAAAGCTACATAGGACATTACTGATTTTTTTTCAGCACGGACAAAGTCACGAGCTAAACCTAGTATATTTAGATAATATGTTCTTATCCTATGCAAATACACAATCTATTTTTGTATCTAACCATTGAAAAGACAACTTTAGTTTTATAATTATAAGAAATTGAAATAAAAATTTGGCTCGTAAAAAAGTTCCGACCCTCCCTGTCTACCCCTACGCTCATTCGCATCCCAGACACATAAAAGGGTACTAAAGTTGCAATACTAAAATCGTATTGCCGAAACGAATTTCATGATTTTGCAGTCTCTTATCTAAAATGGACAAAGATTACTATCGTAATTTAACTAGGTTTCGAGGAGATGCTGTAAGATAATCTAGGGCACTTTTCGCCTGAAGAACGGGCGCACATCTTTGTGTGGTTGTCACAACCGTCGTGTGGTCGTGGATTCTTTCGCAGCCAAATCAACTGTTTAGTTGCACTAAAATCCAAGTAGTGTGCGCACCTCCATATAATCATAGGAATCAAAGCGAGACTAAACGGTTGTGCGATGGTTTAGTTTAAGGTTTCCTAGGGGGTTTTAGAACAGCGATATCACTTCATGTTATGTTACCTCAAAGACTGTATTATGTAATACACTTGTGTAATAGATTTCTCTTTCAGTACATAACAATTGCAATATATACCTAAAGTATAACTATTAGCTTACACACAAGCGAGTCTATAGAAAATGTATACACTTATTGCTCTCAGGACTCATATTTTTTGCAATTAAGTATACTACACTGATAAAGTATTCGGCTTGTAAAAATGTAGGAATAAATATAGCCTAAGTTATTCAATGATACAGCTTTCTAATGGTAAAAGATTATTTTAAATCGATCCAGTAATTTTAAGTTAATATAAATCTACCCTCTTTATAGAATTAGTAAATTATACACTAAATTGTCGTTTAATGATTACCAAAGCTTTTAAGCTATAAAATAAAATACTACGCCGTTTTTTAGTTTAAAAATAATTAAAAACGTAAAATAAAACGACAAAATTAATTAGATAAAAGGTTTTGAAGTATAAAAACGTCCTCCCCCGCGTTTCCTTGCATTATGATAACAACAATGGGGGAGGTAGCGCGGGGGAGCGAGGGGATGATAAATGGTACGCGGGGTGCATACCAATCGCACAGACTTGTTTCACATGGAGGTGATACAGAATAGAAAATAGTGCAGTACTTCAGAACACAGAACATTATCAAAAGACAGTATCAAAGATCGCTTTCCCCCTTTATCTTATAAACACTTAAAATATATACTAACAATGAATTTTTTTGGTATAGCTGTTCCGCGTGAAGTTAAAAAAAAGTTAAAACATAGCCTCACTTTTTAACTCTCTTTTTAATGGTGCAAGAATTTGAAATTGGTCCAGTATTTTTTGAGTTATTTCAATACATACAAAAATCCAAAAATCGAAACCTTTCCTCTTTATAATATTAGTATAGATATCGGTGACTCTTGCATAATCTATTTTTCTGTTTTCACGTCAATGCATAACTCTTCTGTCTCCGGTGTGTTCAATAAAACGCAGTACTGGTATGCCCAATTATTCTGCCCTCGTGTAAAATTACCATAAGGCATCCCATGGCTCCACAACTTCAGATAAGTGGAATTATTTATGGCTTTCGATTGATTTTATTCGAGAGGGGGACACCTTCAACTCTAATCTTACACATTTAGTGAATAAAATAAGCTCCCATTACAAACCCCCTCAGAAAAAAGAAGCGAAAACGACCTTTTAAAGAATTCAATAGAAAAAAGAAATTAATACAATTTGAATAATTTTAACTTTATAAGGTTGTATCATAGACTTATTAAAAACAAAATAAATCCATAGACAATAATTGATATCTTCAGTTAAATGTGTAATTATAATTTTTAATTTCCATTGAAATTGATTCTTACTTTATCGATTCAAAAACTTAACTAAAACACAACTTTATATCTCAAAACATGATTCTTTTAAGGGAATAAAAATGATGGCAAAATGTTTTATTAAAGTGTTGCTACAGGGAAAAAATATTAAACTTTCTTCAACATTATCTTCAAGTGATTAATCAAATCAACAACCAAATGATATATTTAATTTTCAAAAAAAAGTATGTCCATATACTTTTAATATATCAATAAAAATAAGACCTGCTATAAAAACGTATCGTCAGTTTATGGTAACATTATTAAACTCTTCTCCGAATTTATTATCGTATCTTTTTGACTCTCTTGAGAATTTGTACGACATAAAGGCAACTCCATATTGACAATACTAGGAACATTTTATCGACAACTAGCTTTTCATCTGCGCAGCAGAATAAGGAACATCTTAATAAACTAGTCATTCTTCCAGACCGTGTTCTACATTTCATCTAATTATTTAGCCGCAACATCCATCCATTCATCCAATAATGGGCAAATATAAGGGTAATTTTTATCATTAGGTGGTAAGTAAATTTTACTTTTGTTCTTTAACCCTCATAACAATGGATATATAATAATAACAATTACTGACAAATAACAAACTCAATTTTTAAATTATCGTGATTCATTCTATTAAAAATAATCTCTTAATATATGTGTTAAAATAAATGCTACTGTGAACACAGCTTAATAATTCTTTCGAAGATTTTCTCAGTACGACAATAAATTCTCGTAAATGATTTTCAGACATCGAGAATTTTAATTCTTAAAATTGTAACAGCGAAATGTTAATGATTTCTAGGTATTGATTGATTTTGTTTAGGATAACACAAGGTAAAATCTTCATTGTATATAGTCCTTTTTATGTAAAAAATAAACCTTCAAGGCCATATGTTATAAGTTTAAAATAATATGGCGCGAACACGGGCGTGCAATGTTCACAGATTATAAAGATTAACTGGCAGCTCAAAGTGGGCACAGGTAATATCAGCTTGTGGCTGGACGCTGCCCGCGCCTTTGCCTTTTGTCTTTCGAATATTAAAAAGTATATCCGCCATTACGTAACTGGATTGTGGAAGGTTTTTACAAAGATGTTATGCATTAATTTTATTTTCTATTACACAATATATTGAAAATAATAAAAATAAAACCTTTGCTAGAAACTATTTATTAGATTTTAATAGTAAAACGTCGTAATTATTAAATTAAATTAAATTCCAATCATAACATGGAGTAAACTAAAGTGCTGAAGTATCTACCATCTTTATAAGAAATGTTTTCACTGCAGACGATCAATAAACTTTGGCACGTTTTGAAAACGTTCTGCATCAGAATGCGTCCAACGTTAAGATCGAATTTATTTCTGTCGACACTCGCGTCACGGAACGAATGAATTTCTCAAAACTCAACTGAATATTAATCCCATATTTACTTATAAGTATTTTTTAAAATTACACTCTTCTGGTGAGTGGATTTTTTTACTTGAATTGACGATACAATAAGAAAATGTTATTTTTTAATATTACACTTAATTGATAGTTTAATGGAAAGAAGTAAGTTTGCCGATTAGACAAGTATGACCGATTTGTTCACAATTTTCAGATATAAAAGCCACTGAAGGCTACAGACATTTTATTGGCCGATAAATCGGTTTGGCCTGTGAAGCAGATATGTTTAACAAATCGGTATAATGCATAATTATAATACATATTTATACTGATAAGCATCCGACTAAACTAACGCTGGCGAAGTGGCCAGTGGAAATGCAGTTACGTCAGTTACAACGCAATAGATTGCATTATCTGTGTCTTGTTGGAATCACCTTGCGTAGTAGTCTCGGAGATGCTTAGCACATACAAATGGGTATCGAAATGTCGAGACAAAACTGTATTAAGCGTACGTGTTAGCTAAAACTCCCCCACGACTAGGGTGCACTAGGGCTGCCTACTAATCTATTATAAATTTATTGACTAGCTTTTGCCAGCGATCGACCCCATGAAATTAATAAATAAAAAGGTTATATGTTCTTCGAGTCTATGCTCTTTATCTATGCATTTCATCAAGATCCGTTCAGCAGTTTAAGCTCAAAACTTTAATAAACTTCCATCCATCTGAAATTTTGCATTCAGAATATTAGTTAGATGTACATTTTAGTTACAAAGTTAACATTTTTCACAAGTTTGCTTTAACTTTTAATTAACTTACCGCTCGTCTTTAAGTTAAGTTTGAAAGTTAGTTTAAATCTCTTACAAATGTCGTTACAAACATTTTAGCAATGTAAATTCATAACATAAAAGTGACATGATTTTTTTCATAAGCTTGTTTGAAGGCTTTTTTTATATTCTATTTTTATTTATTATATTCCGTACCGATTATTCTACAAAGGACAGAAATAATTCTTAAACGGTTAAGCGCCTTTTACAATCTGACGGACGACAATTAAAAGGAATTTAGAGTTTAAGCGTGGCTTTATCATTTACAACGCTGTTACATATTTTAACTATATTTCAGTATTCGGCCGTAAACACACGAAAACACGAAATACTTTACTAGTCAAAACTAATAAGCAGTGCATACCTTTACAAACATCCGTTAAGTCGGACAAACCTACGTGTGAAGTCTGTTTCAACCCTAGCGCACCCCATCGCCGCTAAATCTCGGGGGCGAACACGTCAATCAAAATATGCCTTAATGTGCGCCGTCGGCCCGCTTACGATATTAGATAAATACAACCCCCGTCTACCTCCGGACCTCACCCCCGCCCCCGCGATAAGCGACCCTCCGGTAATCAACCCCTAGCGAATATGCCTCGTTGATGATGATAGAAATTGCTTTAATATCACGAACACAATTTAATACTACGGAGACAAATACATGTTTTTTTCATTGAATAGCTTTCGCTTAAGACTCCTTCTGCGCGGAATTTAAAAAAACCTTAGTAAATAGTCTATATGTTCTTCCAGGCTACCTTCTACATCTATGGCATATTTTTTCGAGATTCGTTCAATAGTTTAGACTACAATCTCTAACAAACATCTCGGTTGGAACTATTGCAGACAACTTGGTCCTATTTTTACTATAGAATGATGAACGAAAGAATGAATGAAGATTCAATTCGCTCTATTTTAAGAGGAATACAAAGGTCTCATAGTCAAAGTCCCCTATTCCAAAATCGTTCGATATTTTCTATCTTGTTCAACAAATACGACCCCGCATGTCGTAGTATCGAAGAATTACATGACCCAGTTACCAGCAAACATCAGATATTACAAACCGTACGTCTAGAAACTGGTATTGCGATATTGCATTTCGTTACACGCTATATCAATATTTATATTTGTTAAACTTTCTATGTTTAAATACGTCTACTTTTGTGTCCGTCTATCACGGTACTAATCTTGAGAGGTAGACAGAAATTACAGACTTCCATTTGGCGCTTTCCCGATTCACCTTTCGTCTCTTACACATTTGGGGCAGTCCCCCTAGAGAATCAAAAAACCTAAGGTGCCTTGATGGCTTAAAGACGACATAACAGTTTTTAATTAAAATTGGACATCTTGAGAAGTTTTTAATAATCGGTTTCCCCCTTTATAATGTTCTTTATAATGTCTGCTCCCCCCTAGATCGTTGGATGAAGGGCTATAACCTTGTTTGTTATATCCACAGATTTAGCAGTTTCGCGTCGTCCGGAGCCGTATTATGGTCGTCTGATCGGTCGACTGACGCAATATGCTCACGGCATCCGCGGCACCGTGTACGCGGTGGATGAGAGCACCGTCTTCGTACGTGGCTTTGCGTACGACGGTACTGGACCTGACGCCTACTTCTGGGTGGGGGATACCCCACAACCCTCCCCTGAGGGTACTTTAGTGCCATATCCTGAGGATTATGCTAGCAGGTAAAATCAATTTTCTAACTAAACGGGCGCATAAATTCTCTGATAATTGTGCTTTAATCCTTGCTTCGACGGATTTTTGTGTTAAAATTTTACATGTTACCAACATGCTAAACTCAAAATCTCACGTATTTTTCTGTAAACAATTTTAGTAGATTTTTTAAATTAAGTAGTTCTTCGTCACACTGGACACTATCGAATCGGTTAATAGTATTGAATTATTTCAATGTTTGTAATTATTAATACAAAGAAATTGTAAGAAAATGTTATTGTTTTGTCGTTTTATTTCTGTTTTCGTATTCTAAATACTTCTCTTCAGATTACAAAGGAGGCACCCTCTTTAATTATTTTTAATATTCCGTCCCAAACGTGAATTAATCAAAGACGGAGATACGTACGAATAAATTGTTTTTGCTGAGTATTTTTCTCGTGTTTAAGTTTTATAAAAACGATGGAAGAACACGAAGAAGGAAGAGAGGTGGTATTTATTAGGGGATTTTCTTTTGAATCGAAAAAATAATTAGTAATGCCTTGAGAATAAAATTCATTTTATAAGTTTGCTAGATTTCGCCCGCGACTCTGTCCCAGTCGAATTAAAAAAAAACGAATGTAAGTAGCCTATGTATTCTTCCAGACTATGCTCTACACCTATGCCAAATTTCATCCAGACCCGATCAGCCGCTTAGTCTACAAACTCTAACAAACATCCATCCATCTAAACTTGGGCATTGCTAATGTTAGTAAGATTAAATACTAATTACCTACTACTGTGTTTTAACACTTTGACCGCCTAAGTTTTTGTTATGGTAAAGTAACTAAGAGATGTATTACGTTGCATTCCAGAGACCCGCCGGTGTTGAGCGCACATACTAACTCCGACATCCTGCTGCGGCTACCGGCCGGCAAGCGCCTCAGAGACATCAAATGGATCAGTGTATGGTGTCGCCGGTTCACTGTAAGTATACCATAGTTCGAATACAAATTCTTTACCATAGACAACTTAAATGTTAGTAATGCTCGGAAATTAGAAAAAACATCTGGCAAAATAGATTATTCACATAGTGTGTGACATTAGTGTTACTTTTACACGCTAACTGGCTCTGGCCTGTATATGGTCCTTCGAGCCGGAGCCTGAATATTTAAAGAAAAGGAATACCATAATAGATGCCATATATTAGTCTTTTCCGTTTTTATTTTTCTGCGTTATGAAATTAATGAAAAAAAACTATAATTTCTTTATTTGTGATTCAATAAGTCCTTTAGCAAATATTCATTAACGCTATATTGCTGTATTTTTTCATATTCATAAAAAATCACATAAAATACCAAAATAGACTATGCAAAAACATTCTGTAAGTTCCTTGTGAAATATGGAATTAATTTACAAAATGTAATATCGAAATTTAAATTAAAAAGCAGCACAGATATTTAATTTGAGAATTGATGCAAACCACTGAAGTAATATGTTAATATAAACGAAAACATTACGATGTTCCACGTATTTATTCGATACTAGCTTTTGCCCGCGTCTCCGTACTCGTGATACAAAACAATAGGCAGTATAGCCTATGTGTTCATCCAGACTATCTACATTTATGGCAAATTTCATCGAGATCCGTTCAGTATTTTAAGCTACATTCAAACAAACATTCATCCATGTAAACTTTCGCATTTATAATATTAGTGAGATTATCTAAGTGGTAAAAATATTACTTTTTTTTAGTCATTGATAAGATTGAAGATAAGCACAAGGAGACATATCCGAAGGTCTTAAAAAAAGAGTGTCAAAGTTAATATACGAGTAGAGATTTTGAATTAAACACATAAATTATTTTAAAACATTCCATTCATATGCGTAGTTACATTAATAATTTACAACAAACGAATTCCTAATTAACATTTAATTAATGTTAAGTTGAATTAAATGTATGTCAATGGCGTAGCCAGCTGTGAGCTTATATCGATCGGTTTGCGCGCGCACCTCGCCCGCTTCCCGCCAAAATGTGACGTTTGTAACGCCATCTTTCATTCACTCGTTCAGAAACTGATGACTAAATACAGATAATTATAATATCGTTACAAAGACGATGTTAAAAATTATTTTAAGAATAAATATAGCAATTGAGTAGAGGTAATGAATAATAGATAATTTTTGTTTAATTCTTTTATTTCTCGATCATTGTTTATCTGCGATCGCACTTGATTGCGAACCGTTAATTGGGGGCATAGCACGAAAAATTGGCATCGAGTAACGCAAAACAATATTTGTATGTACAAACTTGCTTTCACGCGACTCCGTCTGCGTCGAATTTAAAAAAAAACAAAAGTGACTGACCGATGTGTTCTTCCACACCATCCTCTACATCTATACCAAATTGCATCGAAATGCGTTCGGGAGTTTTGGCTATAAACTCTCAAATATCCATCCATCCATCCATACATCTAAACTTTCGCATTTCTAATATTAGTTTGATTAGTATGATAGTATGATATCGTATTTGATCCAGGTTTCTTACAAATTTCATGCTTTAGATTACGTTACTAACCTTTCTTCTCAAATTTTCGTACAAGATATTTTGATCTTCAAAGAAGTTTCTTATTGGTTTCCCATACCTACACTAAGGACTTATAACTATGAGTGCGATAATGAGAGTATTTCTGTGACTCTCCAGGTGAACTTCGGCGATGTGTTCATCAACCCGGGGCTGGAGCCGCCGCGGCCGCGCGTGCTGCCCGAGCTGCGGCGGCTGGCGCACGGCCTGCGCTCCGGCAACGTCAGCGTGCTCGACGCCAAGACATTCTACATACCCAACTTGCACTACGACGGCGCAGGGCCCGACGCATACTTCTGGGTCGGCAATGGCACTGAACCCAATCCTTTTGGCACCAAGGTAAGCATGAAGTAATCTATAAAAATTCATGAATAGCAGAGCAATTGCGTTTTATACTAATATTATAAAGAGGAAAGATTTTTATTTTTATTTTGTATATATTGAAATAATTCAATTCAACGCTTGTTTTCTGTATGTAGTATTACAATAAACGTGTGGACTCTTCTGTATATTTCTTTCTTATCTCTTACTCCAGGTGCCAAATGAAATGGGTTCATTAAACCCCCTCCGCGGCTACCAAGGCGAGGATATCGAGATCCAGTTGCCGGGCAAGCTGACTGCCTACGACGTGGACTGGCTTGCTGTCTGGTGTGTGGAGTATAGACACAACTTCGGACATGTCTATTTGCCTAAGGATTTAGATGTGCCGCCCGCGCTTGGACAGACTAAGATTACCGTGAGTATAGACTATAGACCTCAAAATGGTCGCACACCCCTTTTTTGGTTTGGGAGTATCAGGAAAAATTAATAAATACCTCTTACCCGGGGGTGGAACAGGATTTTGTAGGGCTGTAATCACTAAAACCCATGTTTTAGTGCTGGTGGTCGTTGAAAACCCGGAGTATGTAAAATGATGGTAAATAGTTCGGAAATTGAAAACATAAGGGTACATTATAATCAGTGTTTAAAAAGGGGTCTTTGTGTAAAAAAAAATAGTTCTTGAATAATTGATATGTAATTTTATTTACTAGTATATTTTATTTACTAACAAATAATCGTTTTAATTATTTTTTTTATATTTCCAAGCTTACCACGGATGTAATATTTTTATTCTGTACTATTGAATCTATTTTTCAGTCAGCAAGGATACATAATTAATAACATTTGTATATTTTATTAATCTATCATATGTGCTATCCTCTTTAACGCTTCCGGGACTGTGTTAACTTTTCCCTTACAGCCTGCTTGGTGGTATAATCCTGTAAGTAATAACTTTATCGTGTCTTAAAAAAGTAAAAAACAAACTACAAGCGATTTCTTCCAGACATTTCTTTGGGACAAGAGAAGTTAACACATTAGTAATGTTTCTATACAAGTGTCAGTACAATGGAGACGCGATATAAACAGTACAGTGGTAGAGCCCGCTTTAACATCTTCGCAGTGCAGGGCCGGCTCGCCCCCAGTAATACCACGACCACACAGAAAACTGGCATGAAGTGGAAGCAATTTCGAGTTTCGTCTGATGAGTGTGGCGCCGGAGGTCTAATTTTAGTCCCTTTCCCTTTCCACCCTTTTCTTAAGAGGAAAGGATGGGAAGGAAAAGTGGATTTGACGGTGAGGAGACGCATAGGAAGAGGAAATGTCCTCTTTATGTGCATCTCCTCCTCCGTCAGTTAACGGTAGGCAACGCATCTGTAGTTGAGGATGTTTATGGGCAGCGGTCGCTTTCCATTTCGGTGGATTCAGGTGGCCGCTTGCTTGTTTGCCACCTCCTTATATTATATAAAAAAAAAGTAAGACGGGCAATGTTTCAGACGAGCTCCACAACCTCGCAAACTCCGCACAGCACCTCCAACAACTGCAAGGAAATTCTCGACAAACGCCTACAAGTTAGATGGGAGATACAGGTAAGAATTACTATGTAAATTTAAGAAACGTTTATGGCTTCATATTTCCTTGTTAAATAAGAACAATATATCCAAAAAAGTAATTCAAAAATATATTTTTTTCTTTACTTTTTTAAAAGTTAACCTAATTAGTGTATTCATGTTTTTGCACACAAGCATTTGACAAGCTGACTATATACAAGGTAATCTTTAATGTAAATTAAAAAAAATGTTTATGTAACTATTACTTTGGCCAGCAACCTACCACTAATACTATAAAGAACAAATAAAAAATATTCGCCTCTAGTTTTAAATTTATTTTAAACGACAGTGGAATTGTGGAGAAAAGTACATTTTTAATATTATCTCCTCTCGATAACTAAATTGTAATATTTACTTTATTACTTCAAACATTAAATTTAGTCACTGTTTAACTAAACACGTGTTTAACGCTGATTATGTCAACATTATTATAAAAGGGTTTTAAAAGGCTTTAAATACTGAAACTGCTTCCCATATAAGTATATTATTATTAAGAAAAAACTACGTAATAAGTAATATCACCGTGCGACAGATGTTAAGCTAAAATGCGATTGAAATATTAGTTTATTTTATTTTTAATTATATGGTAGGTTAAATAATTCAAAAACTAATCAACTAGCTAGCCAGAGGAAGGTAATGTATTTAATTTCAGAAAACCGTTTGTTTTTACTACAAATGTGAACGATGACGTCACATTTTGGTACAAAACAATCGACAATCGCACATCTCTTGTTTCGATTGTCGATTGTTTCGCAGCCAATTCAAATATTTATTTGAACGACTCAAAATCATATAAGCTCATAGGAATCAAAGCGAGACTAAACAGTTGTACGATAGTTCAATCAAAGGTGTGCGCACGTTCTTAGAATGGCTTTTATCAAAAGTAATCATATTTGTATAAAAATGGTTTTATTATTTCAATAAAGATTAAGGTTGTAAATGAAAAATCGAACGTTTTGAAGTCTAAAGACCAACTTTAAAATCTTCGTGAAGTCTAATCTATACTTCTATACTAATATTATAAAGAAGAAACATTTTTGTGTCTAATAACTTAAAAACTACCAGACCAATTACAAAAATTCTTTCACTATTAAAAAGCTACGTTTTCACTGAGTAAAATACGCTATATTATTTAATTTAACATGTACAAAGTCACGAACAACAGCCAGTTTAAGATATAGGCGTGAAGTGGAAGCAATTCCGCGTTTCGTCTTATGAGTGTTGTGCCAGAGGCCCAATTTTAGTCTTTTTCCCGTTCTATCCTTTTATTATAAGGAATGGATTGGATGGAAAGTGGATTTGACGGTGGAGGAGACGCATAGGAGGGGGATATGTCCTCTTTATTTGCGTCTCCTCCTCCGTCGATTTAGGGTGGGCAACGCATCTGCAATAGCGGATATCTATGGGCAGCGGTTGGTTCGCTATTTTGACGGATTCAGGTGGCCGCTTGCTCGTTTGCCACCTTATTGTATAAAAAAATAAGTTATTAATTTCCATGTGTTATACAGGGTGAGCAAGTTCAGATAACGCTGTCGGCTCGCCTGCGTAGAGACCAGTACATGGCGTTCGGCGTGTCCGGCGCGCAAGGCCGCCCCGTCATGCTCGCCGCTGACGTCGCGGTCGCCTACTGGGACAGCAAGTGAGTGAGCGAGACAACAATAGAATTAAATGATTCTTTTCTTAATGTTAGATGCTAGGAATTTTAAAGGTTTTTGAGACAATCGGGAAATCTAGTTGACGCGGAATTTAAATCTATACTATTGTTATGAATAGGAAAATTTTGTATTTTTGTATGTATTAAAATAACCTCAAAACTACTGGACCGGTACGTACGGTAAGCCCCCCTATCGCTGAGTAAAATGATATTTTTTTTACAATTTTTTAATTTCACGTGGACGAAGTCGCAAGCAACAGCTAGTAATTAATATTATGCAGCTTCTAAATGCGTCTGTACGAAAAAAGTTTGGTTAGTACATGGCATATTGCTTTTTATTATCTGCTACCTAATTGGTTATTTGTAAAAAAATTGTGGTATACCGTGGATTTCCGCGATTGTATTTACGTAAAAGATATATTTTCCAGAGCGAACCAGCCGCGTGTCGCGGACTACACGATCACGCACCTGGCGCAGTGCGACGGCGAGCGCGGCGTGTGCCCCGACCAGCGGCTGGGCGGCAGTAATGATGTTGTTTTAGGTAAAAAAAAAACGCTAAAAATCTTACTATGTAATGTTCGCTTTTGTGAGATAAACGACTAGGAATCTTTGCTAGGAGTAAGGCGTTTAAGAGGCCCTTCTCAAAATTAAATCTAACAGTAGTAGAGCCCGCTTTAACATCTTCGTACGAATAGGTCGACTTACCCGGTGTATGACCATGAACACACAGAAGACGGGCGTCATCTACATACAATCTGATGAGTATGGTGCCGATGGCCCAATTTTAGCCCCTTTCCCGTTTCACCCTTTTCTTATAAGGAAAAGATGGAAAGGGAAAGTGGATTTGACGGAAGAGGAGACGCATGGGTAAATAGTCTCTTTAGGTGCGTCTCTTCCTCCTTCGATTGGGGGTAGGCAAAGCATCTACAATTGCCGAAGACTCTGAGCAGTCGCTTCACCATTTTGGCGGATTTAGGTGGCCGCTTGCTCGTTTGTCGCATTATTGTATAAAAAATGACATATCTAATCGAGTAGTCTCTTAGTATGGTAAATTTGTTTGTCCAGTGTCGGGTAGTCAGAAGGACGGCGTGACCACAGTAACGTACCGGCGGCCGCTGGCGGCGACGGAGCCGCTCCGCGACAAGGCGGTGCTGACGTCACGCGCGCAGTCCGTCATCGCCGCCTTCGGGCCCCTCAACTCCCGGCTCGAGGCCAACGCGCACTCCTTCATGGACACCACCAGGACCGATGTGCAGATTGACTTCGGAGCCCAGGTATAACTTCTATATTTCTAGGTTACGATTCGGTGCACTGGCTGTCGTAATTCGTTCTTTTGGGTTAAAAAACACAAGACTACGTGTTATTGAAAATTGCAGTTTCAATTAGTTACGTTTAATTGATTTAGGGCCTCCTGTGAATATTTAAAAAGTTCTAATACGATTTATTCACTCGTAATTCGAGTCAACTCGAGTAACTTGAAACTCAAGTTGTCAAAAATTTTACTCGAGTCCGAGTAATTTAAAAAAATACTCGAGTAAAAAGCAACCAGAGGCGTATCACTAAAGTACGTTACGAATAATTTTCACTTCATGTCAGTCAGTTGTGGTACAGCAAGAGATGAGTCCGAGAATTCATACAACAGATGTTACTCGCGTCTATTATTGAAGATTAGTAAGAGAAATATACGAAATTCCGTAAGGGCTGTTACTCGTTGACCGACTTCCCAAAAGGAGGTAGTCAATTGGTGTGTATGTGTGTTCAGAACGACAACTCGTGCCTGGGGCTGGCGGAGCTGGCGGCGGGCGGGCCGCGGCCGTGGGCGGCGCGCGTGCTGGCCGGCGAGCGCCGCCTCACCGCGCGCATCGGGCCCGCCGCCGGCCTCCGCGGCTACACGCCGCTCACAGGCACGTCGCACGTACACACACACATCACACCACCTGTCGCCCGCAAACTACGTTGCATGGATTTTAAAAAAGTTATCCACTACTTTACCAGCTAGCTTTCAGTCAAATTCCCGTCCAAATCGGTCCACCCGTTCCAAAGGTCCGGTCGCCATTTTGACAGCGCGGCATTAAAAAAAAAGTAGCCTATAGTTAATATGCCCGTCCGTGTCAGCTACCCTCCAGTAAAAGTCCGGTCGAAATCGGCTCAGCCATTTCGGAGATTACCCGAAACAAACGCAGCTTGCGGACAGACAGACAAAATGTTTTAAATGCTATTTTCGTTATCAGCAACGCAAATACTGAGGGAGGGTAGCTGACTAAGACGGGCATATTATAGAGTACGTTTTTATCTTAATATTGCGTGTACGAGGTCGCGCGCAACAGCTAGTACACAATAATTATACAGATACAGTAAACTAAAATAAAATATTTATAATGTTAAGGTTCTACGATAGCGTGAAACTTCAATTACTATTGCATAATGTTTATTATTTATTTTTACACGCAGACAATGACATTATTAATGGATACTTGCCTGGTAAATATTAACACTTAATTTTATCTATACTATTAAAAGAGGAAATATTTGTATTTTTGTATGTATTGAAATAACTCAAAAACTAAACCGATTGTAAAAATGTCTTCTAACATTAAACCGCTTTGTTATCAGTGAGTAATATAGGCTATGCTCTTTAATGTTTTTTTTTTAATTTCACGCGGGCAGAGCCGCGAGCAGCAGCTAGTTATGAAGTAAAACAAGGTTACTACTAAATAAATCAACTAATGTTTATCCACCAAAACCTTTCGCGGCAACATATAATTTGTTTTAGTAATAATAACTAATTAAAATTTTTCCCTTTCCAGGTCACCCATCGTGGGGCATAGCGTGGTACATCAACGACCAGCTGATACCTGAGATCTACGTGGAGCGAGGACAGACGTACACTTTCCTAGTAGAAGGAGGGGATGACAGAACCAACCCTGCAAAGTTCCACCCCTTCTATATCAGTGATTCCTCAGAAGGTGGCTTCGGGCAGAAAAGAGAGGAGGATCAGAGGAAACAAAGGGTGTTCGCGGGGGTGGCGTATGACAACGAAGGATACCCGTATCCAACGGCTGGTGAGTTTAAAACCATAGACATACCTTAAGAAAAACATCTTATATCATGAATTTAAATAGAAATCTGTGTCTTTTTCATTTTTTTCAACGCACCAATTATTGACATTTAATAATAATATCTAGGGTAAATGAACCAGTAATTGACACATAACAGTAATGTCAGGTAAACGCACCAGTAAGTGACATATTATATTCCAGTGGGTCGCTACTGCGAGTGGACACACAAGACCATCGACCAGTCTGCAACCTCGGAGACGTTTGAAGACTACATGAAGACGCTGCAGCTGGAGTGCAACGAGGGCGAGCCGGCAGTACTCAACTGGACTGTGGCTCATGAAACTCCTGACTTAGTCTACTATCAGGTAAATACAGATTTAAATAGACTCAAATCATGTGTCCCAACTGATCTCATACTAATAATTTCGGTCGTCAAATGCAGATACTAATTTTACATAAGTTATGCAAAATACGAGTAATCTTCGGTGGTCAAATTCCTGATGTTTTCGAATATACTCGTATACTATTATAATAAAGCGTAAACACACACTTCTTTGTTGCCTAAGATGTCAGCAATCGCAGCATATTTTCGAATAACTCTTTTTTTTAATAAAAAGCCTCACACTTACATCACTCTTTAAGCTATATATTTTCAAGCCGTTAAACTTAGGGGTATATATTTTGAACAAACTATGTAACTTGAGTTAATCCATAGAAACTTACGCCAAACTAACACTTATAAATCACTAGGGAATGATAAAATAAATTTAAACTTCAGAAACCCAACATTAGTGAATCCCATTTATCAGTGGATTATAAACGCAAATTAAACCGTAATTCTTTAATTCATTTAATTAATTGAATAAATGTGTTTCCAGTGCTACACTCACAACAATCTGGGCTGGAAGATACACGTGGTGGACCCCGGCACGCCGGTGCCGCTGCCCGGCGACCAGGGCGCGCGCGTCAACGCCGCCGACACGCCGCCGCCGCGAGACTTCACTTTGACAGCGCTGGTCGCCGCGATTGCGACACTCCGCAACATGGCCGCCAGATAAGGCTGCGTTCGGAAACGAGGCGAGCTCTGTTATGTTTAGGTTTGTTTGGAAACATAATTTTAAATCATAAATACGATATGAAAAAATATTTATATTACGTTTTTATTGTTAAAGATTTTTAATTTGAATGTTATTTGAAGAAAACACAAAATGTTGTACTCTTGTCAGTAATAGTGATGGGAATTATTTTTATCGATAATTATTATTGCGTCAATTTTCTTTTCAATTAGTATATAAAATATAATAAAGTAAATAAATACAAGCAGAGCTCGCGTATATTGTACAGGTAACCGAATTTTGGTAAATAATGTCAATCTATTATATATCAATTTCATATCAGTCAAATGCGTGTTTGTGCGTTTAACTTTGTAAATTAGATTTTGGAATACTTGGAGGTCTGTAGACAGTTTCTTTCGACAATAATTATTAGATTTAGAACAGATTATGCGTAGTTTGGAGACGAATTGGTACTTGAATTGCAAGTTAATTTTTAGGCTAATTTTTAACTAAGCTCTTTTGGAAAATATTTATCATAACCATGTATTGACATGTTTGTTATAACCGAATGTTTTAAAAACTTTTAAGACAATAAAATGTGTTTAAATCACTTTTTATTAAGTGATTTATATGTATTTAAACGTCTGCTCAGACAAATCTACGAAGACAATAAAACTAAATCTAAGTAACTTGTAAAAATTGAGCATAATATAGATTTTACAAATAATATATATTGCTTGAATATAAAACAGTGGTGAAAAAGCTAGGAACATATTTTTGATTAATATTGCTTATGATAACATATATAAAATATTGATTGATATTTATCTAGAATTTATATAAAATATACAACTGAAATATATACAAAATATAATACCATCACGCCTCCAAACTATATTAATCTGAGAATTATTGTACACTATATTTATCATATTATAGAATTAAATCTGAAATTTATTGCTTATTGAAATTAAAAAAAATAAACTTTTTAATAGTTAAATAAGAATTTCTCACAATGGAAACATTGACAATAATATTGATATAGAATAATGAATTATTTAATAATAATATAATGTATGTACGTCCTTGACAATAACATTTATAAAAAATGTTTTACTTAATCCTTATTTCAAAGTGTGATATTTAAAAATTATTTGACATCTATAAAACTACCATAGAGAAGGTGAATCCAGACTGAGCCAATAATATTGACCTTTTAGCTCCTTAATAATAAAAAAGGTAGCTACCGTTCATTCAATTGTTAACGTTTATAAAAAATATATAGACTGCAATAGAAGTTAGAACCAATTTTTTTATCGATAATTTTAAAGTATTGGTTCCCCTTCTCTATGACATTGGTGAAGACAATAAATATAACTATAAATATTTGACTAATACAATAAGTTTGTAATAATTTAAAACGCAACATTTATATGTATAAGACAACAGCCTTTATTTAGAATATTATACTAAATCATTCCATTGAATTCGGTTTTGTTCTTTGAAAAAGTAAGTAGCGAAAGACAATAAAATGGTCTATTATATTAGAAAACGTTTACATTATGCTATATTATATAGAAACTCATGGCTCTAGTTATTATATGATTTTTTTTTTATAATTGCAACCCTGTAATACTATGGTATTTTATGACCATAAATCAATGTTACCATACTACTAAAAGTAAAAATTAACATAGATTATTATGTATTTTTTACATTTTATTAAATTAAATTCTCTTAAGGTGAGTTTTCATTACGAATAAATTCAGAAATACTTTGACTTCACGTTTTCGTTGTAAACCCAGCTTAAGAGATTGAATGTCAGATCCTATATGTAGTAAAATATTGACAATAAAATAATTGTAAGGAATTTACGATTGAACTGAAGGTAAATGTGTGACAATAAACATACTTTCTATTCGCATGTTTCAGCAAAATGCGTTAGTAAATTATTCTATTAGAAAAAAAAAAATTGTTTTTCGATAAATTTTTATCTATATTACTATAAATATTAGTAACAGTTTAGCAAGCGTGTAATTTGAAGTCATTTTACACTGCGTAGGTGTAGTTGTTTGAGCACAATTTTGTTATTATAGAGTTTTATTAGAAGTTAAAATTTAAAATTCTAGGCGATACTATTTCATATTGTGCAATTAAAGTGGCCTATTCACATGATTTGGCGTAAATGAGATACAGATTATTGCCGTTTAGCTGTAGGCCCACAATTTTAAAAAATTGCCTTTGAAAATTACTTGTTAAAGCATTACCTAAGATGTTTCAAGAAATACTTCGTTAGTAATTTATCTGTTATTTTTTATTGCTTTTACTTGAGTTAGTTTGATTTTTATATCTGTTCAAATTTTATATTTCGTACGTAGGGTTTTTCTCATTTTTATATTTATGAAGAAAATATTATCAGGATATAATTAAAACAGTTTCGGGCCTAAAATATTTAGTTATGGTTATTCTTTTTATATGAAGAATATTTGCCGTAAAAATAGTTTACCAGAGTACAAATGTCTAATTTAAATAAAATGTTTCAAACATAGAAAAATATTATTATAGTCTTCTTGAATTATTTGTTAATCACCCTTATTTTTTGTGTAAATAAATTCCACTTGCCTTTTGTATACCTATTTTTTTTACCCATCTGTGCTTTTTTGTAGAATTTTTAAATGAACTTTGACAGTGTGTAAGTTTTAAAAAAATTAGCCGTTCAGCTTTCTGCATTCGACCGTTGTAAATATTTGCGTGATTTCGTAAATAAAATCCTCAATTTTGTAAAAAATTCAATAACTACATATGTTTCACTTAAATAATATGCTGTTATGTTATGTAATTTTTGAAAACTTCGGACAATAAATGCCTTTCCTTAATTAAAAATTGTTGTTTATTTATCCTATCCTCGTTTTACTTTGTTTGTCAATTTTTATCATGGAGATATAGAGCTATAGAACATTTAAAACCAAGTTGTTAGTAAAAATCACTTTATAGTATACTAGCTTTCACCCGCATCTCCGTCCACGTGGAATTAAAAAAATAAAGAAGTAAGTAACCGACGTATAGAAATACGTCGGTTACTTACTTAATAGATAGTAATCTAGACTATCCTCTACTTCTTTAATTTAATCGAGATCCGTTTAGCAGATTTGGCTACAAAATCTAACGTACATCCATCCGTGAACGTAAATTTTGAATTTGGCGGCGGGTAACGTTTTTTAATCTTGTATGTGTAGCTGGTCTACAGACTATAGCAAAATTACAATTGATTTTTTAAGTTGAGTTGCCCTGTGGTTTAGAGATTTTACATTTGTAATTATTTTATTAAATAGTCTTCCTATTTTTGTATTCGATAAATTGAAAATATTAATTAAAAAATAAAGCTGTCAAATGAATTTCATAACATGTCCATTCTACAATCTTCAGATCTTTAATCTTTAATGACTCACGCGTTCGTTCACCTGTTTCATGTATTCATGTAAATTCTTTTGTTATTGTGTTAAATACAGTAAAAAGCGCGTAGAAATGATTTATTTATAGTTGCATACGGTAGAATCTCTACTACAGGGACGAAGTCATAATAATTTTTGTTAGAGTGATATTCCAAAGTGTAGAGTTTTTGTTACACAAGTATTAGGATCAGTGTAAACTTAAATTATGGCAGAAAAAGTAAGTATTACGTGTAAATAATATTTTTATGTTATTACGGCTTGCGGCAAATCTAACATATTTCGATTGTTACGATCTGAGATTACGATACATAATGAAAAAAAAAAAACAAAAAAAGGTTAACACCTGTCGTCTTGACAATGAAAGGTTTCATTATCATTTGGCAATCGTAATGTTGAAATTTTAGTGTGAATTTTATCTAAAATAACGTATTTATATTAAAAAATCAATTTGGTGGAGTTAGATTAAATTATTTCAGTGTGAACTGTGTGAACAACATTAGCTTGTTGGTCTTTCAATCATTTTATTATTCAATGTGTTAATTTATTAAACACAATTTATAGAATCTATGACTTTTCTCATTTATTTGAGTTTCAATTGCCCTTAAAAATTGTGTTTAAATTTTACAAAATCAGTTTTGACCAAATACCATTAATCTTTTAGAAGAGCCCAGAAGAATTACCAGAACACTCCAAACCCAGTGATACAATGGAACAAGCTGAAGGCAGTGATAAGACCATTCCACCGAAGCCTTTACCTGATAAAACAGTTCCGATCCCTGTGGTGTTGCCAGTAGTGACTCCGTCTCCTCGGCTGACCATCCCGTCGTTCACAAAGACATCACCCAATGAGCTGTACCGGAAACTGTTGCCTGCTGTTTTGTTTTTACTGACCTTTGTTACTGTCATGACTATTTTATTAATTTACATGGATACAGTAGGTAAGTTATATATATACTAGTTTAAGTTATCCATCAGCATCATCACTATGTCACCACTGATGGGCTCTAAACCTACCATTATTCGAGGGTTACTAGGCTATAGTCATACATTTGATAACTGCGGTTTGACTTCACAGATCTTTTAATTTCTTTGCCAATATATGCAGATATCTCTGTTTTCCTTCAACATAAGTAGGTCTGGAAATTATGTATATATGAAATTAAAAAATTAAGTTGGTATATGGCATTTGAGCCCAGTAACTGTATATTAGCAGTAAATTGCTTAAAACTTAATTGTGCAATTAAACAGTTGATGCTGCAAAGCAATCTACAATAGCACAACAGTTTAGTTAATAGTGTGCACCCACTCCTATCACATAGTTATTTTATATGCCAGTTACACATTCATAAGAAACCTTCATATGTTTTATTCCAGCATTAGGAGCCCAACAATTTCGTCTAAACATGTCTCGTGATTACGAACTGGCTAAAATACCACAAGAGTCCCCACCCCTGGTTGCATATGTGAGACAGCTGCACCTAGCTCCTCGGGCTGCACACATCCAGCCCAACATCCCTGAACCCACTCCAAGAGTTCAAATACTAGACCGTATTCTTGGACCCGAGGAAAGAGGGACTTTTATAGAGTTCCTGCCTAAAGGACCGAGGGATAATACAACATTGTTCCTGGAGGCTGTCCGAGGTTGGGATGGAGTTGTGGTTAGGGCTGCTGCGAGAGATTATTTGGCATTGAGAGGAGCAGCGAGAGCTTTGCATGCTTGTCTCAGCCCTACCAATCATCCTCGTGAGGTAAGTTATTTAAAATTTTCTAGATAGTTATGTGCAGACTGGATAAAATCCCACAAATTACATTTTATAGAATATATTCTTATATATTTAACTTCATTAAAAAGTTCTTTTGGATACCTTATAACATTGTTCACATTTTTTAAACATACTCTTAGATAATAAGTTTATTTAGTATTTTTATACTAAATATTGGCAAGAAAGCGGTCACCTTAATTTGCTGAAAAAGCAAAGTGTCCGTAGTCCATATACATCCGTATATGCAGACATTGCCTACCATTAATTAATGGGACGCACCTAAAGGTCAAATTTCCCCTACCTATAAGTTATTTTCCGCTTTCACTTACTTTTCCTATCTTACACTTGTTAGGGGTAGAAATGGGAAATAACCTATTAGTCTTCTGGCATGTAAAATCAGAGAATAAGTGGAATGTGCCACCCGTCCCTTGTGTTGTATGCGGTGTTGAGAGGCGGTATGGCGGTATGGCGGTGTGCGCAGGTGACGTACCAGGAGGCGGAGAGCGGCGGGGCCGCGTTCCGGTCGCGCGTGCTGTGCCTGCCGCTGTACACGGTGCTGCTGGCGGCGGAGGCGGCGCGCGCGCAGCTGCTGCAGCTGGCGGGGGACGCGGCGCTGCCCGCGCTGGCGCACCTGCCCTACCACCTGCCCGACCTGCGCCTGCAGGTATACAAACTCCCCACTTTCTTCTAAATAACTAGCTGTTAGCCGCGACTTCGTTCTCACAGTAATTAAATACATATGAGTAACACAAAACTATTTACGTCCTTTATTTTATTTTTGTTTTATATGTTTCATTATTCGTCTGTAGAGCGGGGGCCTGGTGATCCGTCACACAGAGCGCCACACTAGTTCGGACACCAGTCCCCTGCCCATGGGGAAAATTAGTAAAGTTGTTTTTTTTGCTTTACTTATTTTTTATATCAATGTATGGAGGAGCACATACTGTGCCGATCCTCCGTAGGGATAAGGGCAAGTTGATGAAATGGTATCCCATGTGTTCTTCCAGATTATTGACAGACTGAAAGGACACTTGGCTACTTTCTTTTGTTTTTTTTTAATCCTCGCGGACGGAGTCATGGGCGAAAGCTAGTTAATCATATTTGCGAAATATGTTTTTTCCATCAATATTACAGATATGGTATACCAATTTTTAAGATTTCGTATATTATTTTTGAAGGTGATTGAAGTATTTTCAACGGACGTTGCATATCGCAACAAAACTTCAGAATTCTTGTCTACTAAGAACTACACGGTAGCTGCCACCTTCCCCGATAGCGTAATGTACTCGCTCAGTCCACCCCGCGAATGAAGCGCCGTGAAGATATCACGAGGTATTTTAACTAATGATTACAATCCACCGCTAACATAGTTTACACAAACTCGATATGATAGTTTCACACGCGGGTAGTTTAGTTAGGTGTTTTGTTACACTACTGCCGTTTGTTGGACATTTAAAGTAGAATAATCACTAAGGGAGATACTTAATGTACACTCATACTGAAATTACACTTAAAATCTGAGTGAAATTTGATGTCAGATTTACTGCTCTACAATTTTGTTGTACTGTATTGCTCTGCTCTATTCTACCTTCGTGTGAAACAACCATATGTCTTTTTTTTAATATTGGCCATGATTAAAATTTTTAATAAAGTTTTTAACAATTTGATTTTTTACATTAATGTTTGTGATCGTCCGCCATTTTGAATTGGCGGGAAATTTGTTTAAATAATATTAAGTGTATTGTCTCGATTATTCTCGAATGTTTTAATTTTAATGTATTTCCATATTAAGTGATAGTATGAAAATGTTTTTTTAATTTGTCCAACGTTTTATCTCGTAATTGTATAATGGCATTTCTGATATAAATGAAGATATTTTAATTAATGATTTTTGTATTTTTCAAGTATTTTTTTTATTTGTAATTTTTATTTTCTAAAGGCCTGTCTCACCAAATTGTATTTTGTCTGATAACAATTCAACGTGTATGTGATGGAAATATCGAGTTTTGTTTCCTTATCTGACAGTGACGTCATTTTTAAGCTATCTGAGCCTCTGTCAGCCAGTGGTGGGACAGGCCATGAATATGGCAGCACTTGTTAACGATTTTAATTTGTTTAATAATTACTACTATATATATTTAATCTATAAATGGAGTGTGTTTTAATATATCTTGAGAATAGATTTTTTAAAAGATTTTTCGTTTATTGAATAAAACTGCAGAAGATTACCCCAAAAAATGGCCTCCAGATATTTTTTTGTCCACATTTTGTGTTTAGTTGTATAGATTGAATATCTATGGATATCTACAGTTAATGTAGTAAATTTAATTAATTATATGTTTGTTTTTAAACATATGTTATAATGAATTCCTAATATGTTAGGTAACATAGTTTTTAAGATATCACACGCTTTGTAAGTTTCTATTTTCACGTCTATTTACAATTCTGTCCGTGCCTTATTATATTTAAAAGATTTCAGGGAAAAATATTTGAATTGATTAAAAAAGAAACAACTTGATATTACAGTATTTTTATACTTTGCTTTTTTTGCGCAAAATTTGCAAAAAAATATTTAATTCTATTATTAATTAAAAGCAGTATTTAATTTCTCAAGCATTTTGTAAGTAAATATTTTAATTATTGTATGGAAAAAGGAAATTTTAAATTATTTTTCTCAATTCAATATGTTTTTTTTCTGTTTTTGTCTAATCGTATTATTTTTTTTTATTAATTGAATGAAATCATTTAAAAGTAAAGAAATAAACCAGTGAAGTATAAAAAAACAATTGATTTAAATTAAGTAAAATTTAACAATTTCAAAAAAAAAAACTTACATCCGTCCCAATGAAGTTTTCCCAACTTAGTTTACTTTAAACTTATGTTCAAAGTTAATGTTTATATTTAAATTGTATTGTAAAGGCTTTTTAAACCTTTTTATCTTATTCTTATGAATACAAATTAATCGTAAAAGCAAAATATGAAATAACTCACAGAATTTCATTTCACTATAATTATAAATAAACTTTAATGTTTCTATAAATAATAAATAATTTATTACCTAAACCTGTCAATACCATTTAACAACAGTCGTGAATGTTTTTTTTAATAATTGATTGTTATTATTACTAGTAAAAAATGTTTTAATACAAAAAATGTCATTTTTTGCACAAGCTCCTTAAAAAAAATCATTAGTATTTTGAATAAATGTTGCAATGACAATAATTTGTTTGTCTATTTAACAATATATATTTTTGTAAGCACGTAGAGGTTAGAATAGCAAAACAAATTTAATTCAATTCAATAGAGAGAAATAATAAATATTATAGACATCTTTTTATTAATAATTTAAACACAGAAACTTAAAAAATCCATAGACAAATGATTTTGTCATTGACATGAAAAAAAAATCTCATTTCTAATAAAAATTCAGGATGTTGCATTTGACCTGCTGGAATATTTTTAATTGCATTGCACTTTGCTTTGCAATTAGACTTTGGAAATCCAATTTCACAAATCATTTTAACTATTAAATATTTTTAATATTAAATTGTATTGTTCCTATTTTAATATCCATTCCGTGTTCTTTGTGTAATTACAATATTTTTTTTATTTAGTATTCGCCATTTAAATGTGATTCCGTTTGTTTTAAAGACTGAAACATCGAATATTTATGTTTAATATAATTTTCTCAAATGTCAGCATTAATTGGTTATAAAAATGCGTATTTAATTAATTAATTTGCGATTACTAAGTTATGACGATTTTAATTTTTTAATTAATCGATATATTTTTTTAGTTATGTTATAAGATATTGTTAGTTTAAGTTTTATATGAGCTCAATTTTTCACAAATTAAACGCTTTAATGAATATATTATTCTTTTATTTTTTTTAAGTTCCCATTTCCACTTCAATTCAAAGAAAATCGTATGAAAAAAATCCCTCTAATGGGGTACATCTGTGAGAGTTTTTGACCTATGATATACTGGAATTTACTAAGTTTTAGCGTAAAGCGTCTAACCCATGAAATAGTGTCTGTTATGAAGCCTTAGCGAATACAAGGCGCCTTGATTTCGAAAGAATACCACTTGCTATTTATCCCATTTCTATCTAAACCTAAGCAAAGCTCTTGAGAATAACGTATTTTAAATATTGATGGCCACGGGTATATGACAAGGCATTATCATACTAATATTATAAATGCGAAAAATTGGATGTTTGTTAGAGTTTGTGGCCTAAACTGCTGAACGGATTTCAATGAAATTTGGTATAGATGTAGAGGATAGTCTAGAACACATAGGCTATTCACTTTTGTTTTTTTTTATTTCACGCGGACGAAAGCTAGTAGACCTAAAAATGTAACTTATTTTCTGTAGTAAAAACTAATAAATCCCTTGATTTTTTTCCTTGAATTATACGTTGACTTCTATATTCAAAATGTCAAGTTTCTGGGAGGCTAGAAGTACCTTGGAAACATGGGTACACATGAGTATGTGAAAAATTTGAAGAGTCTAATTAACGATATTTCGTAAACTACAAAGTATAATTATAAAATATTCTGGGTAAATAAGATGGATGGATTGCGTAAAAGATGACATGATCAAGAAGGGAGTGACTGAAATGACGTATAGAGTTATGTGGAGGACAAAAACCTGTTGCGTCACTATGGGAGTAGGATAAGTTAAAAGTTTCAAACATAACAACTAGCTACAGGTGAATTGAAGTGAACTCGTGAATTGATTAACGAAGTTAATTATTTGCTTAAAGTTAATTGCTTAATATCAACTTAATTTCAAAAAATGTTTACGTTTTAACTTTCGTTTAATTAAACCTCCGTTAATTTAGTTCGTTTAATTGTTACATTAGTTTTTTCTTGACATGCTATCATTTTTTTAATTAGAGCGGGCGCATATTTTTGACTAAACAATCGCACAACAGTTGTGTGATTGTCGATTGTTTCGCAGCCAATTCAACTGTTTAGTTGTACAACTAAAAATCGAGTAGTGTGCGCACCTTCATATAAGTATGTAGAAATCACCGCGAGACTATTTAGTCTACCTGTGAACTATTTAGTTCTGCGATAGCTTAGTCAAAGATGTGCGCGCTAAAGCGTGTCGTAAGTGTAGGGATTTTTATTAAAAAACGAGTACCTTTCTTTTGGGAAGTCGGTCACAAAAAGATATTCAAAAACATGCTGTGCTAACATCTTACATAACTAAGTAGTGTGCTTACGCTTTATTCACTTCTCAAAAGGAGTTACGGCTGTGTTTTTTATATTGGTATAGAAGTGTAGATGGAAGTGAAGGGAAGATTTAAATAAAACAACATAAAATGTTACAATTACGTTTATTGAATACTTCCCCAGGATACGAACAGTTACAATAATCCAATACCTTGTCATATCCAACTTTTCAGATTAAAAACGAAACATCCGGGACACTAAACGTAAGTAAACGCCGGCGACGGCAAACTATTAATTTAAAATTATAGACAATCTTAACATATTGTGCGAATAAACATAACATTATGTCGACAAACTAAATATAAAATAGCCAACTATGTTAAAATTAATAAAATTATTGCTCTTAAATCATTTAAAACATTGGAAGAACTTAGGAAAAAATAATAATAAATTTTATATACAATTCAGATATAACTTGATGATTTAATACGCAAAATTTACATAAGCAAAGAAGTATAGATTGCTTGATTATTTTGTTGAAACAAAGTTATTTCGTTTTTCAAACTAAGTTAAACATACACTGACATCATAAGACATATTTAATGATCGTTGGCGAGTCCTTAGCGTAGAATTGAATTTTCAGTATCGTGTATGCTTACTTCTTATAATTGTGATGAATTTACAAGACATTTAGACATCGACATAGAGAACCGAGCACGAATATTTGCAGGAAAGTATCGTACCGTTCCCGAGATTTATCAATCGATGTTACAGACGCTTTTTCCACAAATTTTCGTGCTAGCCTTTCCAATTAACATACGTACATTTAAACACAACCCAAAGCAATTTACACGTTCACAGTAATAAGAAATTGTGAAATATGCACCAGAATTTACAAAAAAGCACAAAAAATATAAAGACAGTGTGACACGACACGAAAAAAAAGTTACTAGCTTTAAAAAAGATATGATAAACTTAAATTTTATTGTTACTTAATACAGTAACTTTTTAGTGTGATGTTGACATTGGTTTAAATTTAATTTTTCAAGGAAACTTTCAAGATCAGTATTACAGTGTTATCAAACGTAATGTTTCATAGAACATGTTTTTTATTTGCCAGGTAACAAATAAAAAATCTCGACTTTGGTCCCATTGAAAATTTCGCGTCACAATGTCTCTATAATTTAATATTAAGTTAAACTTAAAAAATAATAGTTAAATCTCAAGTTACGAACACAATTTTTTAATTTTACATACGGTTTGAAAAATTTTTAAACGTGAATTCACACGTGCGTAAAATAATTTGTATTTTTGTATTACGAGTGCTGATGTATCGAACATTTGTTAAAAATGCGTTGAAATTCAATGAATTTGATATCGAGTCTTTAGACTCTTGTTATTTATAAATTATTTTCAATAAAAAAGCACCAAGTAGAAAGAAAAATAAATGATTTTTTTTGTATAAATAGCTGCCTTTATACAACGCATAATTACATTGCTTATCATATTCTATTGGCACAATTTGATGTAGGAAATAAATTTAAATTATTGCTCCGATAAAACTAAGTGCTTGTTACCATGCTTTAAATTTAACTAACGAAAATAATATTCCATTAAGTACATTTAAAAAAAACGTGCCGTGGCCTCATTATTAACATTTAACACTTATATGTTTTTTTATTAATAAAGCTAACAAAGAATGAAGATCGCACAAGCACGGCCCTAGGGCTGGGCTAGTGCAAATTTAACCGTAGAATTTCAGTGACGTGAACGTATACAGGTTCTTCCCGATATGATTGTTGGCGCCCCTGTTTAAAGCGCTATGGGCTATCGTCAAACCTCGCCTATCTTAACCCTTAAATAAACACTATTGTTAAAACATTTAACAAAAAACATAAATATGGATGCTAAATTATTTTTTGACCGACTCCCAAAAGGAGGTATTCATCTATTTTATGTGTGTTACGGCATAACCCTGCCCCTGAAGAATTTTTTTATCCGAAGGGCAGTGCTTACAGGTGGGTCTCGTTTTTTGTTTAATTTTTGAAAACAAAGAGTACGGCGTAGTTAAACAGTTTTTTTCTTAATTTTCCCATTATTATAATACCGATCTTGAATTAAATATGATTTTTTCAAAAGGTTTGGAAAGGTTGACTTCAACGGCGGCCCTGAGTTCGAGTTTCCAACACCCCAACACCGATTTAGTAGAATACAAGATATTATAGTGTTTTTTCAATAAGAATGAAAGAAATACTCACGACAGTGGAATTCTACGGTATACTAAGCGGGTATAAAAAATATTATATATTAATAGTTACTTAGTATAACACATTTTATCTACAACCTGCAAGTGTGTTCTATGTCGTGTGATGGTTGTTTTATTTCAAATTAAATGCCTTTAAAGTTGTCCATTACAATACATTTTAATTTGAACTAAAATTTCCTAATTTTATAATAAAATTATGTGTGTGTTAGCTTGTGTTTTAATCTGATTTTTCTTTACATTCTTTATAGACATGAACTAAAAAAATATTAAACTAAATATGTCGAATGCAAAGATTTAACACTCAAAAAGTTTCAGTTCTCGATAACTGCTCTATGATATAAGATAATGTTACCAGTATCAAATAATTACGAAATAAAACTTTAAAATATAAGAATTAACATATTTATGTGGCTGTATATTTTAAAATATAATTTTATAGAAACTTCTGGAATATCAGTTATTTAGTCTTAAAGAAAGGAATGGTGGAACAAAATTTGGTCTTTGATAAATACAATTTGGTACAGAAATTCAGAAAAGCACCGTTATATGTAAATTTCGAAATTGCAGGAAAAAAATATTTTAAAACAAATAAAAATTATATCAAATTTATATTGAGATACAAATTTTAATATTCTTCATATAAAACAATTAATAGGGTTGGAAAAAAAAATGTTTTGTTTAAAAAAGCTACTAGAAACAAGTGTCGTACGAGAAATTATCTGAACCGTAAGGAATTAGTGAAAATAAACAGCAATAGTTAACTTTTACTCGACTTTTATGCGTTGTTATGTAGTTTTTACACTTTTTCTGATAGAACCAACAGATAACCTCTCACCGGGTTTGAATCCTTGTTAATAAAAACTCATTTTCTTTGACAATAATTATTCCAATTGAAATTTAAAATAATTGAAATCAGAAATTAAGTAATTTTAGTAATAAACATGATTTAAAAATTGAAAATTATGAATCTATGTAAAAATTAATCGTTTCTAATACATTTTAGTTACTTTTGAGCAAATGGATGGATTTAAATGCCAAATGTTAAAATAAAAAATTTGGAATATAAGAAATAATAAAGGAATGCATACTTAGGAATATAATAAAATACGAATACAAACCGCTTCATATTTGTAGCGACCGAAACCGTAGACTGCGTTTGTATGTATGGATAATTGATGACAATATAGTAAATGTTATTTATGAAGTTTATTGCATTAGCACTTGTTATAATTATAACTAACAAATTAATTAGTGATCGTATTGATGATTAGGGATGTCTATTTTATCGACATTTAAAAAGTCGATAAATTTTATAATTTAAATGATTTATTTACATTTTATTAAAAACAAAGTATTATTGATGAAAATTATATTATTAAAAAATAACAGTTTTTTAAATTTTAATATTGCTTAGGTAAGGAATCTCATTTACTTTAATAAAATAATGTAAACTTATGAATTAAACAACGTTTAGTAACCAATTTTAATTTGAATATCGATATTTTAAATCGATACACACATCCCTATATCATCAATTCGAGACACATATAACAATAATATCATGTGATATAGTGATATGCACCATTTCCTACGTGGGTGTTTCCATTATATTTGTTAATATCAAAACCGTATAAAAATCGTCACAAACCCACTTTAGTGTCAATAACAATTTGGAGCAACATTTTATCGATAACAGTTAGCGTCAACACTAAATAGTTTAGGGTTGACAGAAACGAATTACAGTACATTTAAGTTGGCACATCAAGTATAAAGGTTTCCTTTAACTTCATGAGCCAACATAAACAAGATGAAGTTTTTTTGCTCCAAAACTTAACTTTTCTGGCATAAATCTGCCAATAACCAATATCATTGAAGGAAGGAGTTTTGATTATTGAAGGGAGGGCGTATATTGTTACTTCCTGTGGGTATTATATAATTATTATTAATAAGGGGGGCCGGGAACCCCATGGGGAAGGAAGTGGGGGGTAAAGGTTGGTGGGCGGGACTATTGGGGCTGGATTTTAATTGGTTTATAGAAGGGGCGGGGGCGGATTTTGGAGATCTAGGGGCT